TTTTAAACCAGAACACCAGAGTCTCCTTTTGAATAGGATTAACCGTCTTAATCATTAGTATCTTGTAATGGAGTTGTAGGAAAAGTTCAGAGTTTATTATAAAAATCCTAGAAAAAGGGGAAAATTTTTTTAAAAAGTTCACCTGATGAAGCCAGGAGGGAGCTGAGGAGATCTGGCTCCATTACCTATGTAAGATGAACAATAGCAGTGAAACTTTGTCAGTAGTATGTAAATAGTTGTGTGAAAATATTCTCATAAACAACCTCATTATGTTTATGATAAAATGTAATACATTAATGCAAATTAATTTTGAATTTGAATATAAAGTTTATCGTTTATAAACTTAAATTTATTTATTTTAGGATATGATGAAATAAGACAATTTTCAAGTTCTTTTTGATTTTCAATAAGTTTATTTTCCAAAATATTTGTATGTATTCGTGTTTGATATTTTTCACAACGAATTATTAATTCATTCACATTTATCAATCGATTTATAATTTTTTGTACATTTATACAAAAAGCATCTTCTGATTGATCTAGATTTGTTTGAAATTTTTCTATGGATGGAAGGTTTTGTAAAAAGTCAAAAATAACTTGACAGTTATCTGTCCATTGTGATAATTTCCAAAATATTAATTTTAATTCATTGATATTAATCAGTTGTTGACTTATGTGTGGCAACGCTTTAATATCAAGTAATTTTAAACAGATAAGTTTAGGTGTCATCATGAGTAATTCATCTAATAGATCGATGCATGTTTCATTTAATGTTAGACAACTGATTCTATTTAGAACAATAAAACGTTGAATATCACCAATAATTGTTAATAGATCTAAACTTTTGATCCAACCATGAATATCTAAATCGGTTACATTTGAAAATACACGATCTAATTTTGTGTAGGGTTGATCCTCATTAATACCTATACATAGAACATCAGTTTCTAACCATACAACACGAAAGATCAACCATCCATATCTGAGAACATGTGCAACTATTCCGCGAAGTTCTGTTGCATTCTTCGGTGAAAGATAGTCGTTAGTTTTTGACGATTTTCATTTCGTGATTTTCTCTCGCGCTTTTTTTTCAACAGTTTTCATTTCGTTTTGTTTACGACTTTTTTTTCACATTTTTTATTTCACGCTCAGTTTTCTATACTTCTCGATTTTACAGTGTTTGATTTATGGTTTCTCTTCTACGGCATGCAAGTTCATGATTTATTCCAAGCTTTTTTTTACCGTATAACGGACACGGATTTTCGAGAAAATCGGACAACCATAGTAAGTTAAAATAAAGAATATTGTCATGACGTTAACGTTTTTTTGATAGCTGCGATGAGATTTTGGTTTAAAGCTCATCGACCTCCTCTCGCGAAAACACAACATTTTTTATAAAAAGTCGATAATGAGCTAAACACATGGTCAGTTAGCCCATGGTCTCTACTACCAGAATTCATAGTTATTTAGTCGTCACCGCAGGAATATGAAGATTTCTGTAAAAAGTCTTTTAAAAGCCTTGAAAAACGGACTGCTCGACAATTTTACTTCTTTATAATGTAGAGCAGACATTTTTGATCAAAATGATACGTCTCCCAGTTCCGTATGATGTTTTCATCAAAAGTTATGAGAGCTTTGCTAGAAGCCCTGAAATATATCAAAAACTTGTTTTGCGTTTGTCTCAAAATACCTATGTGGCTCCAACCCCATTCGACTACTTCAAGAGATAGAGTCAAGTTGGTTTTTCAAATCCG